CAGCAGTGTCCCAGAGCTGGGCGCAGCAGGTGCCAGGCTGATATAAAGGGGAGGGGGCGGTGGAATGGGCATTCTTGCAGGGGAATCTCCCAGGACTGCTGAATTCCCTCTCTTCGTCTGAAGTAGCCAGACTCTCAGGACGCGTGGCATGGCTTATGCCCCAGCTCTTCCCCCTCCCCCGCCTCCCTGCTGCCCCCAAGGGTTTGACTACAGGAGACTTAAATTGTAGGGGGGGTTGCTTCAATCGCTGCATTTCCGAGGGAGTTTAAGTGGGGTGATGCCTGCCTGGCTCACATGCTGGGCCCCCTTTGTGGGAGTCTGGACGTGAAAGTGTCACAAATGACACCAGGCAGGGGAGGCAAGATTGCACCGGCAAGGACAGACAGCAAAAGCCAGAGGGATTTCCAGGCGAGGGGCTTCCGGCCCTTCCTCCCAGCACCCTCAGCAGAGCTGGCGGGGGGGGGGGGTGAAGCAGCCTCGCCCCTTCTGCCCAGGCCCCGCCCCATGGGAGCCACGCCACTCCTCCCAGCCCCCCGGTTCCCCCCCCGCAGCACCACGGGGGGAGGGAGGAGGGAGCGAGGCCCCAGCCTCCCCAGCTGTGGAGCACAGGGAGGGCGGGCGCTCCGAGGCAGCAACCCTCCGCCCCCAGTGCCCCTACCGTAGGCATTCTGGGGGCGGAGAGTGGGCGGGGCTAAGCTGGCAGTTTTGGAAGGCAACGCCTCCCCTGGCCTATGATACCCGCCACTGCCCCAGCTGCTGCATTCCCAGCTGGAACCCTGCCAAGATTTCAGGCAGTAGTGGGGGTGTGGTTTATGCACCCAGCTCCTTCCTCATTGGCCACCCCATCTGCCATGGCGCTTGCTAAAGAGGAAATGCAAATGAGAGTGCGGCATATGCAAATGAGCACTCCAGTTGCATTTCCTCTTGTGGAAGAGGCTTTTGTAGTATAGACGCAGCCAAGGCGTTTGAAAAAAATATTTCATTCATGTGTTACTGGAGATTACCAAAGCTGCCCACGGACACAGCTGTTTAACAGCACAGGCCCTGTCTAAAAACTACCAATAAAAAAAAAAAGTCAGGTGAGCTCCAACATTGGTAGGTTAGACATGAGATTATGATAGCAAAATGGGACACAGCTTGCAAAGAGAAGAAAGAGTCTTGATGGTGTACCAAACTATACTGGGCTTTTTAACATGTACATTTGAAAGACAGACTCTGGTCCTCAACGTGAATCTAGAGTAACTCCAAGCTCTGTAGCAGAATTAATCTGGATGTAATGCAGCAGAGCCTGGCCCGGTGTATATTTTAATTAGGGTTACCATATTTGAATATTCAAAAAAGAGGACACACGCCAGCCAGCAACACCTCCCCCCCTTCTGCAGGAGGCCCGAGTTTTAGTGTCAGAAGCAGAGGTCAGGCGCAAACCCAGCTCACGAGCCAGGGATTCAGGACACTGTGCGCAATGCATCGTGGGTATGCAAACGAGCACCCCTGAGTACACCTGAGCATGTGGAAGAGCCAGGATCTCCCAGTTGCAGCTGCAGCCCCCAGAACTTGGCTAGGGGCAGGGCCCTGTGCTCCCCTCGGGTGGGGCAAGAGGGTCGCTCCAAGGTTCTATAGAAACAGATGGAAATTTGTTTGAAAAAGCACGAACCGGGTAAAATCTCGGACATTTTTAGATACTTTAAAAACCTTGCCAGCCGGAGATTTAAGGACCGAAAAGGAGGACGTGACTGGGAAAAACCGGATATATGGTAACCCTTTTTTTATGCCTTTATTATTACGAGCGCATTTCAGTGAGATTTAAGGACCGAAAAGGAGGACGTGTCTGGGAAAAACCGGATATATGGTGACCCTTTTTTTAATGCCTTTATTATTATGAGCGCATTTCAGTAGCAAGTCAGGCCCTTGCTGGGGGCAGTTCCTTTGGGAGGCGTGCGATGCTCCAGCTGCCAGGAAAGCCCGGCTACTGGAATTCTGCGGAGCTGCTCATGCAAAATGGAAAGAAACCTAATTTCCAGGTTGGGAGGGGGAAGAGAAGAGTGAGCAAGATGCGATTTTTTTTTTATCCCCATGCCTCCCAGCTGAACTCTGGCTAAGCCCTAAGTCCCTTGTAAACGCTTGATGCATTTTATACTATATCAGGGACGTATCATGGCTGAGTGCTCCTTTAGTGGGTGGTCTGCCGTCTAAGGCTGGATTAACGTGCGGGATGGTCAGACTTTTGATGCCACCAGCAAGCCAAATAAAAAAAAAGGCCAGAGAGGTATTTTCTTCTTGAGCTTGGACATTTTCCCCCACTCTCCCCTCCCCCCAGACACTTTCGCCTAAAATATTTTTTGTAACCGCTTCTTCCATTATTTTAGTGTCAAAAGTTTGCTTCCCTGGGCACGGGAAAACGGGGCAGAGCCAGGCAGCACGAGACACAGGAGAAGGCATTTTTCGAAAGGCCATTGTCCTTTCTCCAAGCTCCAAGCACCTGAGCCCTTCCTGCAGAGATCCTGCAGCTCCTTCGCGAGAGGAAACGAAACTCTTAAGACAGCAAAGCTATGAGGGGATTGTCAGGTCGGGAAGGCTGGAGTTTGCTACTGCTTAAGGGCTGCGTGCCCTGGGAAGCCCAAACTCACTTTGTCAAGAGGCCCGGCCGCCAAGTTTTCAAAACATCTCGAGGACAGATTTCCCTGGGTTGAGAATCCACCATGGTCGCCAGATTCTCAAGGGCTGAGCCCTGCTACTTACAGCTGACCTGCTGTGACATAGTGGGGGGTACCTTGCTGGTTGCTATGCTGGGCAGTGGGTTGTGAGTGACCTCCACTGGCTGTAGCATGGCCCAGCAGGGCAGGGGATGAGTCATTATGCAAAGAGGGTCTCTCAACCTGTCTGACCAGCTACCCCCCAGGGAGAGAAACAAAGGAAGGTGGAATGTCGCCCCTGGCTGGGGGGCAGGGCTGGAAGAGAGTTGGTTAGTTTCGGTCTGGGAAGCAGGGGAGAAGGAGCTAGGGAGGGGGCTGGGATTGTAGGGCCCAGCCACCCCCCATCTCAAGGGGGGCACTGAGGCCTCCTAGCCCCAGTTCCTGTGACCAGATAACCTCTGTGCTGTGCTGTATCCTGGAGAAGCAATAACCCCCCTCTATTCTCCTGGCTGGTGGAGTCTGCCCGTGCCACTACGGGGGTGCAGGAGACGGGAAAAACCCGACGTGCCGTCACACCTGCGAAGCTTTTTGGAGAACCTGGCTGTTTCTTTGGCTGCCTAGGTGGGAGCTGCACTCCTTGGAAAGTCTGAACCCAGCTGAAGGCGTGTCAAAATCTGGTCCATGGTGGGGTGAGTTTAAGCTCTCTCAGCAGCTTCCAGAACACAGTGGCTGAATTGCACAAGTCCATGGAGGAAGTGTCTAACAGCTGGCACCTTGAACTCCATGTGCTCAGCAGAGCTGGGGTCTCTTTGCATCTCCCTGCATAAATAAAGGAACAAAGATCCACCTTGAGAATTTGGCCAGTGCGCAGACATTCCAGTGATGGGTACCATACACAATCCTATATCAGCAGGGTTGCTGTGTTAGTCTGGAGCTGCGAAAACAATAAGGAGTCTGGCGACACTTTAAAGACTCAGGCAGTGTCTAGACTACAAAGATCTAGCAGGAAAAGATACGCGAACCGCGAACCGCGATTTGTGTATCTTTCCCTCCTCTTCTTCCAAAAGAGGCTTTTCCGACAATTGGCCTGTCTACACTGGGCCAATTGTCGGGAAAAAAGCCTTTACGGAACATCCCTTCTTCCTCCTAAAACGCGGTTTACAGGGATGCTGAAAAAACACATCTTCTTTTCCGAATTTTTTTCGGAAAAGCAGACACATTCCTTGGACGTGGCAGAGCTTTTCCAGGATACCAAAAAGCTCTGGGCTATGTTTAGATTGCATCACAATTTCTAATGAAGCAGGGATTTAAATCTCCCCCACTTCATTAGCATAAAAATGGCTGCCGCTTTTTTTCGGTGTCTTATCCCTTATTTTAAGAGGGATAAGGGATCTTTCGGAAAAGGCTTTATTTTCTGAAAGATCCGCGTCTAGACTGGCGCTTTTTTCCAGCAAAGCTCCGTGCCGAAAAAAAGAGGCAGCCATTTTTATGTTAATGAAGTGGGGGAGATTTAAATCCCTGCTTCATTAGCAATTGCGATACGTCTAATTTGCATCCCTTTTACGAAAAAGTGATGCAATCTAGACGTAGCCCTGTAGTCTAGATGTACCCTAACAGATTTATTTGGGCATAATCTTTTGTGGGCAAAACCCCACTTCATCAGATGCAACAGCCAACATCTGACAAAGTAGGGTTTTGCCCAGGAAAGCTGATGCCCAAATAAATCTGCGGGTCTTTAAGGAGCCACAGATTCTGCGCTGTTTTTATATAAGAACCTAGAAAGGTGGATTCTGGGGCTAGGTAAAGAGAGGCTCCACCAACAAACACCAACATCTGAATTTTGATCACTCCGAAGACCAGGAGCAGGGCTTGGCCGTGTGGCTTCCTAATGGGAGGGGCCATTTGCAACATTCACGTTCGTTCGGGACTGAGAATGCCCCAAAGTCTGTGTGCATGAGGGGTACTGTACCAGACCCATCTCCCCCCCTTTCTTTGAATAAAATCTCCAGTTCCAAAAGAAACCTTCCCCACCACAGTTCCTCGAATGGAACATTCCTCCTCACTCAACCAATCGGCACTTCAGCTGTGAGCTCCACCACTGAACGAGGTGGGCTTTGGAACCTTGGGGAATCCTAGCTGCCCATTGGCTGGTGAGGTGATCCCGGGGTTTATAAAGAGAGAACTGTGGACACAGACCCATCTGTTCTGAGAAGGCAAAGGGATGCTGAAGACGGAGGATGTGTGTGAGCTGCAGCACCAGTCGGGAGGATGGAGGGGTTTTTGGCTGTCACAGTCAAGAAACAGGAACCCGGATGGTAGTGGCTTCAGCAAAGCAAATCAATAAAGAAGAGTCAGACGATGAGTCACGTTCATATTTTTAATACACATCTCACCCAGCAGCAGGCAGGACCCTTAGAACTCACACGGCCAATAGCTTCTTTCTTTCCATGGGGTCCCGAGATGCATTACAAACTGACCGAGAAGTTATATACAGGGGCTCAGCTTGACTTGCTTTCGTGGTAAGATACAGCATCTGTGTCACGACACACAGCAGTGCCAGGTAACCCATGCTTGTAGGCATTTGTCTAGGGATGTAAAGTCCCATTTAATCAGTTAACCGGTTATTTTTAACCGGTGAACTGCTTAACCAGGGGCAGTTAACCATTCACATCCCTACTTTTGTCACCCTCTAATGACTAGTCCACATAAAAGACAGCGTTTACCCCTGCTTCCAGCTGCTGGATTTGGTCCTTGAGTGTATGCCACCTTGAGGTGGTGTTGACCTCAGCTACGCAACCACGTGAAGCATAATCCCGTATCCAGTGGAAATCACAAGGGGGAATTCTGGGAGGCAGAATGCAACTCCCCGTGCTGGATTTGGCTCTGTTTACTTTGGTCCTTTCTGCTCAGAGGGGAGATGTACAGCTTGTCTTACTACAGAGAATGCAGCTGGCCAACCATTCTTTCTTTCTTTCTTTCTTTCTTTCTTTCTTTCTTTCTTTCTTTCTTTCTTTCTTTCTTTCTTTCTTTCTTTCTTTCTTTTTTGCCGTCCAATGCAGCCTCTTGCTCATGCCGTCTGGTTCTTGTGGCTTTCGTGGTCGTCCCCTTCCACATCTGATCACGCTACCTATCAGTCAGAGAGAGACGGTTCAGTAATAGGACATGGCACATCTCTCCCTCCTCCTTGCCTTGCTGGGCATATGGACACCAATGCTTGGCTTGCAGACACATTTGGGACCCCACAACTCCAGCTTTAGTCCGTGCGGGAAAACCTGCCTCAGTGAAGTCAGTGGGCATTTTGCTACTGATGTCAGTGGAGCCAGGATTCCCCCAATGGAAACTCAGCATCAATGTTCCTTCTAATATTTCTATCTACATGCAGAATAAATTTTGTTATGTGCACAAAAGATATGCACATGCACCACCAGTAAAAAAAACCATGCTGCTGGCTGGTGGGCGCTCTGCTAATCAGCTGTGTGGCATTTGAATCTCTTCTGGGTGGCCACCCAAGCACTCATCTTACAGGGAACACTGATCAGCACCCCTGAGAACTCAGCTCTAAGAGGCATGTACAGTGGGGGGACCCAGGCTCCGCACCCCAGAATGTTTGAATCAGGCTGGGAAAGTTAGGTTCTTCAATAGAGCGGGGGGACATTTTCATACAAAAATATTTGCCCCCCAAAATTCAGCTCCAGAATGACCGAACTGTGTACAAATTTGGGCTGATTTTGGAGAATAGTTTTGGGGGGGAGGGGGAAAGAATAAATTCAGAAATCAGTTGCTGTTTTGCTTTGGAAAGATGTTTCATTTCACAATTCCCTGATGCGTCATTTAAAACTCAAAACGATCCCAGAAGCCCTGAAAGGAAACGCTGAGTGAGACCCGCGTCTCACGTTGAGTCACTTTTTTTTGCTGCACCGAGAAATGTTAAAAACATTGTTCCGGTTTTATCCCAAACAGGGGTTTTTTTTTTGGCCCCCAATCTTTTTGGCTCAGCTATTGGATCAAAACGTCACTTAGTCCCTCCGCTCTCGTCTGAAAGCCATATTTAACCATTTCAAGAGATAGTGCAGAGTGCCTGCCGAGCTCACTGACGTCCCTAGCAGGGTGCAGCACCTGTGACAATCAGACCCCTTTCCCTGGGAGATATCACAGCCGGTTTAGGAACTTCACCCTAAGCCCCAGGTTGGACAACCAAAGCCTCTACGTCCCTTTTAGATACCTGAAAACTGCTCTCATGTCCCCCCTCAAACTTCTCTTTTCTAAACTAAACACACCCAATTCTTTCAGCCTTCCTTCATAGGTCATGTTCTCTAGACCTTTCATCATGTAGATGGCTCTTTCTTGCACAAAAGCCCCTTCCGCAAAAAATGGCGTCTCATCTGGTATGAACTGCCTAGTTCGCCTAGGCTCACGGGCCACCCCTACCTCTATGCCAATGGTCTCCAACCTTTTTAACCACATGGTCTCTTTTTCAATATCAGTGCAATGTAAGATCTACCTCAAACCGAAATACCCTGGCCCGGCTTCCTACCAAGAGAGTGCAATGTAGATGTAGCCAAGGAGTTTGGTGTGTGGGTGAGGCTCCGGGCTTAATCCAGGAAGGGTTTCAGGGTGCAAACTCTGGGAAGGAGTTTGGGTGCTGAGTGACTCATGTCGGGGGCAGGAGGCTGGGCCTCACTTTCACCAGGCTGGGGTAGCGGTTTGGGTGCAGGCTCTGGTCTTGAGCCAAGGCCTACATCTACATTGCGCTCTCTTGCGCAAGAAGATATGCAAATGAGGCGTGGCGATGAATACCACCGTGCCTCATTTGCATACCTAATGAGCCGCCATTTTGCGGAAGGGGCTTTTACGCAAGAAGAAGCTGTCTACACTGCTCCTTCTTGTGCAAAGAAACCCTCTTGCGCAGGAGCCGTTCTTCCTGAAAATAAGTGTAGACATAGCCACAGTGTGTGAGAGTTATAGAGATTGGAACTGTCTACACTGCCCCTTCTTGCGCAAGAAAAACCCTCTTGTGCAATGCCGTGATGCTGATTATTTTCTCCCCTTCTCGCTGTGTGGAGATGGGGTACAGGAGTGGAGGGAAGAGGAACACCCTGACCATCAGCACCCCCCCTTCTCCCTCCCATACCCTGCACAGCAAGCAGGAGGCTCCCAGGGGGCGGCTCCGAGGCAGAGGGCAGGAGCAGCAGGTGGAGGGGCAATTGAAGTACCAGCGCTTGATTTTCCTGGCCAAACCAGTCAGGATCCCCTGTCAGAGGCTCCAAGATCTGCTGGTAGATCCCAATCGACTGGTTGGTGACCCCTGCTCTATGATCACACTAAAACAAGACAACATGCTGCAGCAGGGACCTCCTCCTCTGCGTGATCATTGGCAACATGGAACTGTTTATCTAGCTCAGTGGGGAAGGAAGGCCCTGGATTGTGACTTAAAAGCTGTTCTAGCCTGGCTCTGTCCCAGCCTCCCTGTGTGACACGGACGGGTCATGTCATCCCTCCATTTGCCATCTGTGAAATGGGGAGAACATTCTGTCTTTTCTCCTCCACTCTCCTCCGCCTCGTCTCTGTGTCTGTAGGTTCTTCGGCCCAGAGACTGTCTCGCTTACGCAGCGACTGGGGAGACTCAGTCCTCTGATAACCCCAACCCCCAGGAGTGGGGGTGGGTGTGGAGAACGCACCGAGAGCGAAGACAGAAGCCTGGTGGATTTCCAGGGCACCCTTTCTGAGGCAGGGAGCAGCCTGGGCCTGACCGGGCTTGGTTTGGGTGGGAAGCTTTAACAGAGGTTCCCCCTCCCATCTTCGATTTCGACTACTCTCCAGTTCACACTATTCTGACCCCTTTATCGATAGAAGCGCAATAAACTCATGCATCAGGGGACTTCCATGAAGTGTTCTGCCCAGATCTTCCCCTGGACCTTGTTCCTTGAGCGGGAAATTGGTCAGATCCTGTTCTCCTCCTGTTAACCTCCATCCCCAGGACCTAAATCACACAGTAATAATCGCACCATCCGCCAACCCCGGAGAGAGCAGCTAATAATAGATCCCTGCGAGCCATCGGAAGGGGCGCGGATGGTAATGAACCGGTTTATGCTTTACCTTGAACTTGCGGGCCAGTGCCGGAAATCCCCTTCTGATTAATTTGACTGATGGGAAATCGCCATTTACAAGTGCCCCGTATGCCCGACACAGGTGGCGGCTGGTCAGGTGTCACTGGGGAATGGGAAGAGTGGATGTCTGAAATGCTGAGATTGGATTAACTGCTTGGCTGCTGGGAAGCAGAGCGGCGTGAGGATCTGGAGGAGAGAGAGAGACGGCTTTGCTGGGCGGGAGGCACACCCAGAGGTCGCGGGCATCTGTCTGTTCGGCTGGACTCACCGCTGGGGGGTCACGCAACCGAGGGACACGATGCTCCTAAAGAGCCGGAACTCCCTAGGGAATCTTGAAAGAGCAGGGAAGAAATTAGAACAGGGGATCCTGCCATGTGGGCAAGGACAAGGAGAAGTCCCGTAGGGCGAGCTTTTAAAAAGCAACTAGCAATTTTGAGTGTGTCCTCATTTTGGGACTGCCACTCGAAAGGGGGCTCCTTTTCAGGAAATGCTCCCCCCTATTCCCGATACCCCCGTAAGCTGCTCAGGAAATCCAAGCCTAGAGCAGTTCTTTCCCATGGATTGTAAAAACAAACAAACCCCTCCAAAATCCCCAAACCACAAACCTCTTACTTCCCCCCTGGCAGCACGAGGGGCCCGGTATGAATCCCCGGTGCTGCGCGCGTTGCAGGCCTGAGACCTGTAAGTGGATGGGATCGGTCGGTGGAGTGTCGGGGTGGCCCTGAAAATGAAGGCATTCATCATGTTAGCATCTGGGCGGGATGCGGAAAGAAGCCAGCTCCTTTGCACCTTGTTCCCAACGTTTGTAGAACTTGGATTTCTGTCTGGTTTCCCCCCTTACCTCCTAACCACGAACCAAACCTCCCTTCTCTAAGGCACTGCATCCAGGTGGTTTTTTTTATCTATTCCAAGTCTCTCATCTCTGATCTTCGCCCCCCAACCCCCTTGTTCTCCCCCTGGCCTGCCAAAACCTTGACAGCAGACACCCTATGGGGGGAGTAGGGAGGAGCACATTCTGCATACCTTTTTCTGACAAAAACTTGTAGTCTAGCCCAGTGTTTCTCAACCTTTTTTTGTATAAAGTACCCCTTTTTCAAAAAAAAAAAAGTACCCCCAGTACCTACAGTGTTCAGACACACAACATTTTCTTCTACCCTTGCAACACATTTGTTTAAACAACTTAATTGTAGCCGGGCGGGCGATGAAATTTTGGGGTGTAAAAAGTCCAATAATAAAGCTCTGTAAAACTTCAAAGAAAAAATCAGTTCTCTCCAAATTGCAGGGCTGGGCACATCTCCCCCAGACTTCTCTCGAGTACCCCTAAGGGTGCTCATACCGCTGGCTGAGAAACACGGCTCTAGCCAGCCCCTGAGATCACCTTTCCAAACCAAAAGGCTGTTAGAACCGGAAATGGGAGATTTTTCATGTGGAAAACACCACAGGGAAGGGGTTTGACAATCTCTAAACTTCTGTTTTCTTTTAATTTTTTTCCAAAAAAATGGTCGGGAAGGGGTTTGACAATCTCTAAACTTCTGCTTTCTTTTAATTTTTTTTTCCAAAAAAATGGTCATATCCAGCTTTTTGTCAGAACTGGCCTGTTCCCATGAGAAAGTTTAATTTTGCTAACTGGATCTTCCCCCCAGCTCCTGTCAAATCGCACAGAAATGCCCAGCCAGCACTGACGATGATTCGTTAACATTCACGTGTAATTAGCATGGCAGCTAAAGCTCTAGACGCTGTCAGGAGCTGCTCTACACTTGGATACCCAGTGGGAATTTGATGGCTAGGAACACTGAGGCGCAGACCCGTGCCGGAGGAGGGTGCTGGCTGAAGTTGGCTTTCCCACAGATCCTAGTACAACCAGGGGGGAAAGGAATTTAAATTTCTTACAGGCCTGGCCCTATCACAACCCAGGTCCTTGCCAGCTCTTTAAATAGCTCCCTGCTGGCTTTTGCCGCAGCTCAGCCAGCTCTTGCCGGATTGGTGCGCCAGGGCGCGCCCGCGTCCTTTCCCCATCACGTACAACATTCCCACTCACGCGGCTCAGCACGTGTGGGGTTGGCAAAGAAAGCCCCAGAGGGCATTCGCTCCCCAGGAGTGGCTGTGGGGAGGGAGGGATTCGGGATTCTGGGATTAATGCTCTGCCTTCTCCATGCCCTTATGTCTCCTTTTTCCCCTCTGCTCCTCCCCGCTCCCTTTCTTCCTCCCTGCGGCAGCTCCCCCTCCATTTGCCCCTCCTCCCATGCAGGGAAAAGCTGTGTCGGGCAAACAGCTGGTGAGGCCAGTCAGGAGCTGATTTACATAAATTTCCATACGGATTAATTTCTCCTTGCTCTGCCCATCCCTCTCGGCGGTGTGAATCGGAGTCTGCTGTCAAGGCAGAGGGTTTCGGCGTGCCAGGGGGAGGACAAGAGGATGGGGCTGCCCATCCCTCTCGGCGGTGTGAATCAGAGTCTGCTGTCAAGGAAGAGGGTTTCGGTGTGCCAGGGGGAGGACAAGAGAATGGGGGCAGGGGGCAGAGATCAGCGGGGAGGCCTGGACTCCTTGCAGGAGGGTGGGCACTGGGGCAGGGTCTGGTGCTTTGCCCGAGGGAGGCAGGAGGGACATGGGCAGACTGGGCCCCCCTGGCTTCCATCCTCCCCCCCGTTATGAATCTCCGGCTCCCAAGGGAACAGCTGTGCTGGGCGTTCCGTCCTCGCAGGCAGGGACGGCCTCAGACGTGCCAACAAGACCCAGAGCTAAGGGCCGCTCAGAGCAGTCTCTCCCGGTGGAGACATGCCCAAGCCGCATGCATCTGAACCCGGTTCTAGATTCCCAGCTCCCCGAAGGTCGGGGTGGGGTAGGACTCCAGGGCCCTGGGTTGTCCCATGATCAAGATGGAAGGCGTGTGGACAAACTGGGTCTGGAGTGGATTGGGCACGGTGTTTCTTCCCTCCCTAGTAGCCTCGACTGAGGATTTGGCTCTGAGCGCCCCAGGCTCGTTAGCAATGAATAATGACGATAATAAGCAGCCGCCTTTTCATTACATGACACTTCCCCAACCAAGGCTTCTGACTTGGGCGCATCAGAAACCTCCCCCGCCCCGATGATAAAAGTTAATTTGTATCTGGAACCTCTTGCAAAGGAGAAGGATTCCAGGCCCCCTTTATACACATCTGGTTGTGGGGAGGGGGTAATTGAGGGTCCTTCATCTCTTGTTTGCTATCCCTGGGCCAGGAGGAAATGGGGAATTTAACCCTTCACGTCCCGGCTGTAGGCTCCCTCCTACGGCAAGTTTGCCTGGTGCAAAACCCTTTGAAATGAAACCTCCCAAAAGGACAGCTTTAGCTTTCCTCTGCCAGGATGATGCAAAAGACGTCATGGACATGGAGGGATTGAGTCTCACAAGCAGGTCAGATTTATTATCTGCATTTTACAGGTGGGGAAACTGAGGCACTGGAAGGGAGTGAATCGCCCATTGAAACATACAATGAGATGAAGGCAGAACCCAGCTATCCTGCCCATGGGCACGTTCTTTAAACAGAAACACTGTTTGGCCCACGTGCTCAAAAAAAGATTTCGAGCTGCTGACCCAGCTGGTCTCAAAGTGCTGGGCACGCACCATTCGAAAACGAGTAGGGGGAGGCAGTATGGACTCTAGAGGATAGAGCGTGGCACTCAGGAGACCTGGTTTCGAGTGCTGGGTGACCATGAGCAAGTCACATGACAGCTTCGTGCCTCGGTTTCCTCCCCTCTCTTAAACTTTGTGAAGCATGTTGCGCTCAACTGTTGAAAAGTACCACATAAGCCAGTTTGTGGGTGGTGCCAACTGAAGCATTTTGATGGGGTGCAGAGGGCGTGCCCCGCTCTCAGTCAATGCATCGTGCATTCAGCCTGCCCCTCCCTCCACATGCTCTGGCTTTACACGCATGTCACTTTAGTAACACCGGTAGGGAAAAAACAACCCTTCCCCGGGCAACAGTAAATAAAATGTCACATGGGCAGCACCCAGAACCCGGATGGGCCATACAGGGCCTGTGGGTGGCAGGCTGCCAGCCACTGACCTAAGCCTTGGGTGTTTCTCTTATTATTGGGTTTGCAAACATGGAAGCAGCCAACCTGCTTTGGAAGTTTGGGGCTTCCATTCCTCTGCAGTGGGGCGGGGAGGATAAAAACCTCACGGACTGTGAGGCGCTCAGAAGAGAAACAATGGGGCCCGGAGACAGAAAGATCCACCTTGTGCTGACAGCCAAGTGCCTTCGGTGGATAAAACAGCAGCAGGGGATAAGTGAGGATGGCCACTTTGATGGGGGGAGGGAGGGAAGGCATGGGGCTCTTTAAACTGGCTTTGGTGTTCCCCCAAAGTTGAAAAGTTGCCATTCTTCCACCAAGGGATTTCAGGATTTCTTCCAAGGGATTTCAGGAAACCAATTTCTCCTGCCATTAACAGCTGCATTTCCACATCAAAAGACTCCTCCAGCCTACTTAATTAGCCTCATTAACATGGGTCCTACAATTGACAGGTACTTCTGGCCTCAAAGACTCAATCAGGAGACCATGGAGACAGCTGAGTGGGATGAAGAACAAGCCAAAGGGAGAAGGACTCTTGTTAAAATCCTCCAGGGCCCACGGCACAGAGCGATCCCTGCTGTTATTCTGCCTGGGGATCCTCGAACCAGCAATGACCTGGGTTACAGAAGACACTAACCTATTGATGGAAGTGCTGTCTAGCTGTCAGCCAGGGGGCTGGAGAAGTGAGACGATAAGATCTGGAGCAAGTGGAGAGGCAGAGCATCAGGGAGCCTGAGTTCTAAATCACCTCTCTGCCACTGGTTCTTTCGGTCACCTTGGGGCAGTCACTTCACCTCTGAACTGAGCAAGGAGCTTTTAAAATTCTTGCCTTTCGGGTGCGTCTACACAGCAGGGCCTCACTCGAAATAAGTGATGCAAATTGAGCTACGGCAATTGCCTCGCTTATTTCAAAATCAGGAACGTCTACACAGCCCTGGTTTCGAAACAGAGCCCTCTTCCTCCGACTTCCCTGCCTCCTCACGCAATGAGGATCCCAGGGGCCGGAGTAAGAAGTCCTCCCGCTTGACAGTATTGTGACATTATTTTGAAACAGCTGCCTGCTATGGAGACATGGACTGAGTTGTTTTGAAACGCTAGTTATTTCCAAATAATGTTGCTGTGTAGACATACCGAGTGACCTCCTGAGTTCCAGGTCAGCCCCTGCTGGCAAAATGTCATTGTCCCGTTTTTTTCCCTGCTCTCGTTCGAGGAGGGGCGGGGAGGGGGAGCAGATTTAGGAGTTTATTTCCAGGCTCCAAAGGGTCAGGCGGATGCACCCAGCCCCATCCTGCAGCTTCCTCTCACAGCCAGTCTCTGACCCCACAATGAGCTCATTCGCCCAGGACTGGAGGCTGCTTTCCTTTGGCTGTGGGCACACAGGGGTGCATGCCTCTCTTTGCTCTCCTCGCTCAAGCCCCCTTGCACACAGCGTTGGTGGGGCATGCACATGCATGTGTGTGTGTGTGTGTGTGTGTGTGTGTCCGGCGTGAGCAGGTTGCACGCAGCGTTGGCTCCTGCCGCCCCAGCCTGCCCCGGGGTGTGTGTGTGTGTGTGTGAGACAGGCGCAATAGAGCCGTCGTGAGCAGGTGACAGCAGAACTGGCCCCGTCCGAGCCCTGCTGGGAAGTGACAAAGTAGCTCAGGGCATACGAGCGAGTAAGCCCAGGCCGCC